AAACCAAAACCAAAACCAAAACCAAAACCAAAACCAAAACCAAAACCAAAACCAAAACCAAAACCAAAACCAAAACCAAAACCAAAACCAAAACCAAAACCAAAACCAAAACCAAAACCAAAACCAAAACCAAAACCAAAACCAAAACCAAAACCAAAACCAAAACCAAAACCAAAACCAAAACCAAAACCAAAACCAAAACCAAAACCAAAACCAAAACCAAAACCAAAACCAAAACCAAAACAACAAAAACCCTACAGTTGAATCTTATAGGGGCATTTTTTTTTTAAGCTAAAGAAAAAAAAAATGCCTTACAGTGAATCTTATATAGGCATTTTCTCAATTGAGGTTCTCGGTTTTTCAGATAACTCCAGCTATGTCAAGTTGGCATAGCCTAGTCAGCACAATAACCAATCAAAAGGCTCATCCCTGGAAAAACCAATTCTCCTCTCAGCGGTTAATTGCTTGTAGCTCTTCAATTAGATGTAAACGTGACAGTAAACAAATCTCTAGCATGTATACAAACTCACAGAGATTAAACAACTCATTGCTGAATGAGAAATGGTCACAGAAGAAACACTGAAAGAAATAAAATATTCCCTGGAACTAAATGGAAATGAAAACACAATACAAGGAAACTTTTTAAACTGTTTCTAGATCTACATGGAGGGGGTGAGTGGACAGAGCCTCATTTGAGGGAACGTTAAGTGGACTTCTGGCTGTCTTTTTGACTATGCACATGCGCATTGAGCACCTTCCTTGCTGACACACTGGACAGCTTTCCAAAGTGAATGTGTGCTCATACCTGGCACGAGCCTAGGCACCCGCTTGCTTGTGTTTACCAGCGTTGCTTGGCGACCGAGCGTTACCAACTGCATCCTTGTCTGCAGTTGACAACTACTAAACCAGCACAGAGCTTCCCTACTGGGACATTGTAGCAAGACTTGGCTCAGAGTTTCCTTCGATATTCTAACCTTTAGGATCTGGCTTACTATAAATTTTGGTTCTGGGTTTGGGAGAGGCCATCTTGGCATAGTCTCTTATTTTGGCTTGGGGATGCAGGAAAAGCCTAGCAGGAAGGAAGAGGCCTGTGAAGCAGACAGCATTTACCATGGAGATACTTTTCCCAAAAAAGGAAAGGACGCCCCTGGGATTCTGTGATGGCCTGGACAAGATCTTTGTGGGCTTTGGGAACAAGGATGAGAGAGGCTGTCAGCCGCCCAAATACCACGCCAGCTACGCACCTTATTATCCTATACACAAGGCCGCAAGCATGGGAGACATAGACACAGTGAAGAGCTTTGTCGAACGGGGAGCTTTCTCCATGGAACAAATAGATTGGAAATACAGGTAACAGTGGGGCTGGAGCTGTGGGAGAGTGGGCAGGTACATCGGAGGGAGGCGCGGTAAGTGGGGAGAAGGCCAGCTTCCTGTGTGAGGTGAGAAAAGAGAAACATCCGTCATTAATTTTAGGATGCACATCTGGGAAGGGTGTAACACTCAGCTAAACAAACAAAAACTGAGCTTTATGTCCTTGAAAATTCTCCTTTTAGAGCACTGACTGGCCTTTTCAAGGGTTTCAACAAAACTGTATAATGCAGCTTTACGTGTGTCCATTGGGAGAAAAACATATTGTCATATGCGTTGTGGAAAAGCACATATGAGAAATTTCTAGTATGTATCAACTTCCCACCTAAAAGGTTTTCTTTTTTCTTTTTTTTTTTAAAAATAACAGCTGATATTCACTATATCAGTGTATTCCTGTGTATCCACATGTGTGCAGGAATATACATTATTTACTGAGACAACTTGCAAGAGAAGACGATTTGCGTTCTCATATTTATTCACCTATCTCATCTGCTTTAGTTATGGGTTCCATGTTTACTCCATAGTACTTGGAGCCTCCTCTCTCACTAGTCTATACACTCCTGAAGGGTTATTCAGTGTCTTCTTGATAAGCCAAGCGTGATGATGGTAAGATTTGAAGAAGAGTTCTAGTTTTCCTACAAGTGTTAACTCCAGTGATTCCTACCATACCATATGGCTCACTGTCACCTTGGACAGCTTCCAAATTACAAAACTCATCTTGACTTTTTAGTTTTGTTCCACTTTCAGGTCGCTACAGTTTACCAGTCCTTCTTGTGCAAATGCATGGATTTCCACTCTCCATGATTGCTCTCCCTTAAGGATTCTCTGTATCGTTCAGGCCCAAGACCACTGTCCAGGTCACACTAGTTCTCAATCATCAGGACTGTGGCACCTGAAGCTGGGTGCTCCTTGACACATATGGTACTTTGTTCAGAAGGGTCCCTGCAGGGTGCCTTAACCCTGGCTCTCGGCTGTCAACGGGGAGAATATATATCATAAAACACAAACAGCATTACTTTGGGGAATGTTGACTCCAGTGAAATTGTCTGTTGCTTGCAATAAAGGCAATATAATGACTTTTTTAGAGGAAAAATCAAATTTTAAAATGCAGAGTCCTTAAATGCTATCTGGTGATTATAATTGCACGTGTAATTTTTGAGAAAATGTTAAGTTCATAAAAGCCCCTTCCGTACTCACAGGACTGCCCTGCATTTTGCCTGTGTCTATGGCCATCCAGAGGTGGTGACATTCCTGGTGGAGAGCAGCTGCGAGATTAGTCCAAAGGATATTAAAGATGCCACACCTCTAATTAAGGTATATTAAAGCCACCAGTTTCAGATGATAAGAATTTGACATACATTTTTACATTTGAAAAAAATGAAGCTATATCATTTAAATGTAACTGAATACTGAAGCCTGTGGAATGCTGATCTCGAGTTCTTTAACATTAAGTGTGTGTGTTGGTACCACATCCACAGGCTGCACAGTGTAGACAAACGGAATGCCTTGATATTCTACTGAAGCATGGTGCTGACCCAAATATTATGGACTGCCGTGACAACACCGCTCTGCACTATGCTGTCTACAATGGGGATGTTGAAACAGCTGCTAAGCTGCTTGAATACAAGGCAAACATCGAAGCAATAAACGAGGTATATATACACCACCCACCTGCAATTCTCACATATTTGAAACACACAGATTTTAACAGTCATGTGTATGTAGAATCAATTTTCTGTCTTTTCAAAGCTCTGGTCCTCTAGTGGTAATGTTTTGAAAATAACTCAACCGTTGAAGATGCCACTTTAAATATTGGTACTTGTAAAGACGTATTACACAGTGCAGCTTTCTTGAATGCATTTCTGACAAATATTTGTCAAAGCAATGAATCTGCCTGTTTTTAAATCTAACAAAAGCTTTTCCTTGACTAGTTAAATGTGACACCTACCGTGAACATTTGCCTTTTATATTAACTTTCTCTTAAATGAGGAAGAAATGTTTTATGATAAATTGACATCTGGATGCTGCAGACAAGTTATGCCATGTGATCAAGCCATGAGTGGTGAAGCCAGAGAAAGAAATATAGAAAGGGAAGTTGATGAGAAATTTTCATACAAATTTGGAAATACGATATTTGAGGGGAAAATACCAAGGAATCTTGAAAAATTATTCACTTTATACTTATTCACTTTTTATTTATAACATTACTACTTAACACGCATGCCCAGAAGTGAATTTTAGTAGGACTCTGAAGAAATCAGACTGTCAATGCATATGCAACAATTACACAGAAAGTAAAAAAAGGAAAAATAAGTGATTCACCATGAAATGACCCTTATCTGATAGAAATTGCCACTTGGATAAGAGTCTAAAGTTTGATCTCAAATCTACAATGCTTTCCTGGGACTTGGGAGATTTTTATACTGCATAGAATCCAGCTATATTTTGAAATTTCTATTGCTGCCTCTGCCCCACCTTGCAAATGAAATGGTATTTTCCACAAAGTTGGTGTTTGTCCATTTCTCTCTTTGGCCAAATCCTGAAACGATAAAGAGAACTGTTCTACCTGTGAGAGACAAGGTAGAGATGACCCTCTTCTGCTTCTCCAGCAGCACAAACATCTGGAGAGAATTTTGAAAGTACACAAGTGTCTAGACTCTACCTCTAATGTCTAAATCAGCATATCTAATAAGACCCAGGCATAAGTATTTAAAACTGTTTCCTTCATGTGGTGGTGATGATGAGGAAAGATGCCCTCCCCCCTTGACCCTGCCACCTGTGGTGGGTGAGGGAGCTGACACTCCTCTGCCTCACCAGCTACAGTATTTGGAAGTGGACCCTGCACCTCACCTGGGCAGCACAATGAAACTGACCCTATTGATGGCGGTGGGGAGATGGGGGGAGTGTGGGAGCTGAGGAACGGGCCCTGAGAACTTGAACATGGTAGAGCTAGCCCCGCTCCTCATCTGCTGTAAGGTGGTGCAGGCAGGTGAGAGATGCCCTGCCGCCACCATTTGCTGCCTGTGTCAGGTGGGAGGGCTGGCTGTGAGGTCCTAAGATTGGGGAAGCTGTCCCTGCCCCTCCCCAGCTGCATCACTGGGGAGAATGGCCCATGCCCCTTGCCTGGGTAAAAACAGAGCTGGCCCTGAAAGTGTAAGCCTGGGAGAGCTGACCCTGAGAGCATGAAAGCAGGAGAACTGACCCGCCCCTTGCTCATCCTTAGCTGGAGCCATGTTGGAGAGCTCACCCTGTTGGTGAAGACAAAGGGGGAGGGGAGCTAGTGGGCTGACCAACTGCTGCATCTACCCAGGCCCAAAGTCAGGGTTACGAGATGGCCTACCCAAACATCCATCCCATCTGTGCATTTATGACCTGCGGAACACGTGAAGGGGCTGGTCCTGCAGACTCAGGAGCTCCATGACACAGGGCAATAACAGGATATCCAAGAAGGGTCCCAGTGAAGACTCGATATCTATAGTATAGCAGAAATTAGAGGCCTTGATCCAGACCAATGAACACTTGCAAGTAAAGATATATTGATAAAAGAGTTTACTGCATGGCTCACTGTGTCACACTACAGCTTCCATGATGAGATTTTTTTCCCTTTCTTTTTTTCCTCTTAAATTTTATTTTGTGGGGGAAGGTTACATGGGCAGAGGGCAGATAAGAATGGGATCAAGATGCATGATGCGAAAGACTCAAAGAATAAGTAAAAAGAAGTTTTAAAAAAATGTTTCCTTCGGGCTCTTTAGATCCCAGAAAAGAATTTTGCATTTTTGCATGCAAAATGTGAACCATACCCACAATAAAGATTTTCTTCAAAGGGCCAAGAACACGATAGAGTCTGATATAAAGAGTGTCCTTTGGAGCTGAATCCACAGTTAAACTCCAGGAGATCCTTTTTATTAAATTTTAATTTAATTAAAAAATAGTTGTGTGTGAGTGCTTTGCCTGCATGTATAAAGTACAACATGCATGCAGTGCCCACAATGGCCAGCAGAGGGTATCAGATCACCTGAAATGAATTAAGGATGCCGTGGGCCGCTGTGTGGGTGCTGAGACTGGAACACCGGTCCTCTGAAAGAGCAGACGGTGCTCTTAACCACTGAGCATCTCTTCAGCCCAAGGAAATTCTTAAAGAACTGTGCACTTCAAGTTGCTCTCAAGTAACCAAGTCCAGACTGCTTAGATCTCATTTATTGTCTGCCACCTGTGATGAATTATACCTATTGTCTGAGACGCCCCCAAGCATTCCAGTTTGCTAGGGACCTCTTCATACTACCAGATGTCATCCACTGGGCCTAAATGTGTGTTTGCATGAACAGTTCGTGGTGTTCTGTGATAGAGATTTTAAACTTAAAAAAAAAAAGTTTGTAAGGATACAGTCTATTTTTTCTCCCCGTTACTCCCTTAGAAATGAGATTGAATTTTAGAAGTTAGAAGTTGTTATTTTGAAACTTTTTATCTGTCTAAAGCACACTCACATTGAAATGCCTGTATGTCGTTAACTCCAAAAGGTTTGTGACAATTCCAAACAAAATTTTACCTTTTTGTACCAATGAAGGTGACCTAGTGGCTTTCTTCATCATAAAAGAAATATGTGGGCTGGAGAGATGGCTCAGTGGTTAAGAACACTGACTGCTCTTCCCAAGGTCCTGAGTTCAATTCCCAGCAACCACAAGACTGCTCACAACCATCTAGTAATGAGATCTTGTGCCCTCTTCTGACCTGCAGGCATACATGTAGACAGAATACTGTACACATGATAAATTAATTAATTAAAAAAAGAAATATGAATAGGTCAATGTTAGAATTATTATTGGCGAAACCACTGTCTTTTTGCTCCTGGCTTGTGCTTAGCTCAAAAACAGCTTGAAGTAGTAATTAAACTGAAACCAGAGTAAAAATAGATTAAAAATAGCATATGAACAAGGCATGGTGTCACAGATCCTAGCATCATAACCCGTAGGAGACTGAGAGAGGGGAACCATAAATGCAGGACGCTAGTCTGGGATACATAGTGAAATTCTGTCTCACTGTAACAAACCCCCATAAAACCCAAAAGTAGCTGTACTTCAGTCATGAGACCATCATCATCATCATCATCATCATCATCATTATCATTTTGAAACTCACTATCCAGACCACACTTGCCTTGAACACATGGAGATCCACCTGCCTCTGCCTCCCAAGTGCTGGGACTAAAGGTGTGCACCACCACACCAGGCCTGAGATTATTACCATAACTGAGAATGAAACTTCTTATTGAGCTCTCTACAGTTAAATAAGACTATTATTTTGTAATAAGAAAAATCAAAGTTCTTTTGAAGCCTGTTCATTTAAGTGAGAGCCCATTTCCTAAGTGACTCCCTGTGGAATAATCCTTCTGTTCGTTGTGAATATGTATTACTCTTACAGATTAATAAAAAGCTGACAGGCAAGCTGGGTGGTGGTGGCACACACCTTTAATCCCAGCACCCAGGAAGCAGAGGCAGGTGAATCTCTGTGAGTTTGAGGCCAGCCTGGTCTACAAAGTGAGTTCCAGGACAGCCAGAGATGTTATACAGAGAAACCCTGTCTCAAAAAACAACAAAAGCTGACAGGCAGGTAGCCAGGCAGAAAGTTAAGCAGTACAGCCAAACTGAGAATGATGGAAAAAAAGGAAGGCAGAGTCAGGAGATGCCAGCCAGCCACCTGAGGAAGCAGGACAAGCAGAAAATGAGGTAACAAGACACGAGCCACGTGGCAAAGCATAGATAAAAATGTGGGTTAATTTAAGTGTAATAGTAACAAATCTGAGCTATCAGCACAGCATTTATAGTTTATATTAAGCCCCTGAGTAGTTATTTGGGAAGTGGCAGTGGCTGTGGCACAGGAAATCTCCATCAACGGTGACTGATAAGGATGTTGGTGTCTCAGGCTCTGGCACCACTCGTAAAAAGAAATTTGCAAATTTCTCTGCACCAAAATTCTCAACACTGTGTTTCTTGAACTCTATATTCTTAAATGCTAATGTCTGCCATAAAAGGCAGTTTTAAAAGGTAGAAATTATGAAGAATAAAAGAGATTTCTCTGAGTTCCTGAGCTGCTTCTTTTGTTCACATTCCCAGACAGGTGCTCATGCAATCTTTTTGTTGGGACATGGAATGCCTGGAAAAGAGATATAGGTAGGAAGAAAAAGTAGATGGGGGAATTTAGCTTATTTGCCAACAACAATACAGAAAGTTTTTGCTACTGTGTGTTTTGTTGTGCGTTGTTGAAATAAAGATACAGAATCAAGAAACTTTTGCTTAGATGGGAGCAATCATATGACCCCAAAATACTATGATACATGTCACAGGAAATCTTTGTATGGATTTTGGAATGAATATATATGCTCACTCAAGGAAGGGGGATTTCATGGAAAAGGAGGAGCACACGTTGAAGTCAATAGGTTGAAGAAGAAATGGCAGTCATTTCTTGTCAGTATGTACAATTATGTGCTCAAGGAATCTATTAATTTTTAATTCATCACTTATTTTGTTTTGACAGAACAAGATCACACCACTTTTGCTTGCTCTGAAACAGAACAAGGAGAAGATGGCAGAGTTCTTAATCAACAACGGGGCAAATGCAAAAACATGTGATTTTCTGGGAAGGTAAGAAAGTCGGGGTACTAATAAAGTTAGTGACTGTGGTGCTGTAACTATCACCCAAGCCATGATGTTAAGTTCATAGGAAGAATCTACCTTTTACTTACTGAGATAACGTTAGCCTTGACCATCAGTTTGGTACAAATGAAATTATTCAGTGTGAACAACAAAAAGACTACATACAATAGGGCCTCTATTTCCTGATAATAAAACAATATTGATTCATTGTATTGTAACTCATTCACCGGGTAACTGATTTAGCTAAATGGATCTCACATATTCTGTTTGTTTTTAAGATGTTAATTTTAATTTTTGAATGACAGTGTGACTCTTAATGTCTTTATGGTATTTGTCACCATTTCTTCTTCTTATGTACTGCTTCCTTAAAAAGGAAAATCTGTTGGATGGGCTGTTTTCATTATATTTCTTTGCAAAATATTGTTTAGTTAATCCCTCAATAACTATTCATTTCTATTACCAGGTGGTACTCTACTTTTTCTATTTTTCCCTCTGAATTTATTTTGAAACTTTATTACTTGGCATGGTCAAAAGAATGAAAAACTACTTTTATTGAGTAAGTTTGGATGAGTAAGAATCAACCGTGGGTGGTAAGAAGAAATCTCAGTATTCACACAAGACTGAACTTAATTCCAACTCTTACACTTCCTGAATGTACAACCTTAGGAATGTTACACATCACTAGATTATTTCCTGATTAGTTCTATCGCACGGTCCTCTCCTACATACATTATTACCACCATTATTGCTAGAACTACTTATTTTGTAATTATGCTATTAGCATGTTAATTGTACAAATAAGCTTTTTTCCTCTGATCTTCAGATGATTCTGTATTACAGTATATTATGTCAGACTAGGGAAGAAAAAACAATTCTCCACTTGAATATTCACCTACTTTGATAAACAACCTCAGTATTTGTGAATGAGAGGACATGGAACTATAAATCCTACTACGTAATTTTGTAGTGGGAAAAGGGTTCCTGTTTATTTCTTCCCGATTTGTCCTGGAGATAACTTACAGGATGAACATTTGAGCTCCTAAGATGTTCATGTCCATTAGTAGATGGTCAATTCTATACACACAGGCAATATTTCAAGCTGGTAAAACACATCCAGGAGGGTGTTTAATAAGTTTATTCAAGCATCTGACAGCCAGGCTCTGCCTCTGCTCTTTTAGAAGCACCCTCATGTATGCTGTAAGGTGTGGGTCAGAACTCATCATCAAGCTTCTTCTTCAAAGAGATATTGATACCTTTAAGCAAGATGCCTTTGGATGGACAGCTAAACGTTATGCTGTTGAAAGTAAAAGCAAAGTGTAAGTGTTCACATTTACTCAATTAACATTAAATGAAGATGCAAAGTAATTACAACTACTACATCTTATGTATTTAGTTTAGGTTGTTTTGGAATGGCAGTGACATAGTCCACCCCATCACCCAGAAGCTAATCAAAGCTGTGGATGAATTAGAAGTAACAATGGATGCAGGATTCTTTATCCCCCAATTTTTATTTTGGCTATGCGTGTGTAGTGTGGTGGGGGTGGGTGCTGACAATTGAACTTGAGATCACATGTTTTAGGCAAGTATTTTATCCAAGGACTATATTACTCTCTCTTGGGTCAGAACTTTTTAAACCCTGTAGGTAGAGAAAGTTTGTAGAACCCTAATCTTGAGAATGCATAATGATACCCATCAAAAGAAACCCAGAGCTGAGCCATGTGGAGCTATGGACAACACATCTGAAGGAAACATACACAAACATGGCAAAAGCAGTCATAGTCACAGAACTTCATTGACGTCAGCTTCTGCCAGGGCCATATGATCCCTGTAGGTTGGATGTTACCATTTTCTACCTGCTGCTGTTGCCTTTTAGACATATAGTGTTCCCCCACCTTTTACATCCTGAGAGATAAAGCCAATGGGGCATTTGGAGTCCCTGACACCCTAGGGAGACTAAAACATGATGGGGGCTGGTAAATATGGACCATTTGTTGATACCAAGAAGCCTGAGTGAAGGACAGTTGGAGACCTGGTAGACCCTGGGGCACTTAGACACCTGAGTGAATTGGTAATTTGAGAGACCTGGACACATTGGGGATCTGAGGTTACTGGATGTTGTTGTGAGTCTGGAGGCATTGGGTGGTCTGGGTATTTAGGGAGACTAAAAGGCCAGGAGTCATTTAGACCTAGGGGAATCAAGATGTTGGTTGCCATTTGATATGGTGAGATATGGGAAGAAATGGACTGGAAATCACTTGGCATTTGCGTATTGACATCAAGTCCATACTGGTGTTTTGGTAGCTCAGGAATTGTTAGATTTTTATCTTCATTATCTAAGCATTTTTCATTTTTTGTCCAAATACAATCCATATATTTGAGGTACAAATAATTTCACATTGTTTAAATAGCTGTTTAGATTGTGAAATATTAAATGGATGGTTTTCTTTGAACTATGTGACAAAGAAAAGAGTAGGTAATAACAAAAGCAGGCCTTAATATTTTTTGGTAACTTCAACACAAGAATATCAGATCTTGTATAGTTGGTAATAAGAAAATAGGATTTGGAATGATATGTTATTTATGATTTATTAAATCTTGCCTGAGGATTCAGAAGGCAAAGTTAGACACAAGACATAGAAGCCAGGCAAACACCTTTGATCCCAGCAGCCAGAAGCTAGGAGGCGATGGTATACACTTTTAATCCTAGGACTCAAGATTTAGAGGTAGATGGATCTCTGGGAGTCCAAGACCACCCTGTAAGAAAATTACAGCTCACACTTTTAGTCCCAGGCACATGATAAGTATATAAGACAGGAGCAAGGACTCAGTATCAGGCATTTATTCTCCAGCCACACTGAAGTAGGAGACATTCATTTTCCAGCCTCACTGAGGAGAGGCAGCAGTTTGAGGCTTGGGTCAGCCCTTTCAGCCTGAGCCAGAGGTGAGAGCTAGCGGCAGGCTGTTTTACTTCCCTGATCTTCAAGTTGAATCCCAATATCTGTCTCTGGGTCTTTTATTAAACCATGCAACAAGATCTTGCAAGGAATACATGTTGAACATTATTCAGGCTTAAGAGACAAATGATCTTGTTGCTTTTCTATTTGTCATGCATACTTTATGTTAATCTTATTTAATCATATCAGCTTGGTATACAAAAGCAGTAATGTCATTATTTTTTTTTAGAGGAAGATATTAAACTAGTATAAATAACATGTCCAAGGACAAGCAGCTATTGGTTATAAATGTAGATTTCTTCTGAGTTCAGGACACTTTCCATTATACTGAGAAAACTTAGTTCATGTGTGGAGCTGATTCATGACCATTCTTCCTCATTTTTCCTTGTTTAATTATACACTTGATAAAACACGGAATCCACATGTTTGTAGCCTATGTTTAAAAGTTATAATAGTGCAATGATAATACCTGAAATGGTCCTCTGAGTGTAATGTGCATGTCAGCATTGAAATAGTAGACTGACTTGCCATTCTTTTGGTCCCGGACAGTAGGAAACTACTGATCGACTATGATGAAGAGGAACTGAGGCAAACATCTTCAGGTGAGACTTCTGCTAGTGAATTACCCTTGGTTTTCCAACTAGAAGAAAGAGCTATGAAAGTTTGAAACAAAATGTAAATTGAATTGGTATTTATCTTAACTTGTTTTCTAAGAAAAAATTATATGAAATTTTAATTCAAAATATCATGTGTAAAATCGTCTTTACTTAATTTCTTTGAAATTTGTATATCATTTTGTAGAAAGAAACATACTTTAAAATTGCATGATTGTCACATTAAAATTGATTTTCTCTGAAATATTTGAATGAATGGACTGAATTTAGTAAGTGAATATTATGTATGATATCATATTCTCTAATCAGTATTGAGATTTATTCACTTGGGCTCATAGCTCTTCTTTGTGGCGATCATATTTTTTCCATTAAGCATGTTGTTCACATTGGCATATGTGCACTTTCTGTATTCTGTATGTTCATTGGGAACAAAATCACACTTCCTAAATCATAACCACATACTTTATTATATACTGTATGTCCCTCACACATGGCATGAAAGCAGGAAGGCATGCTAATGGGAGGAGGGAGGGAGTTAGCAGAGGAGGACACAGGGAGATGGGCAAGGGCAATGTGAAAGGAAGAACAAGAGTGCTGTATCCTGAAATGTCAAGACTAAGCACACTACTTTGTATATTAACTTTAAAACTGATAACATATTTTCTATTAGTGTACTTCTGTCACTGTCCTTACTTGTAATTAGTTTCAGAGCCAAGTTCCAGCAGCCCCAAAGAGCTATGCTAAGCTACCCACTCCCACTGGCATATTAAGATTTCCAATAAGTGTGAAAATCAGAGAAAATACTCAATGTTTAGTCAATGCACATATTTGGAAGAGGAACACATAAAGGAACACCAAACTCAACTTCAGGGTCCTGTCATGGATTCAGGTACAGATAATGCCAGAACCGAGGCAGGCTGAAGTGGTTGCACAATTCAGAAGTCATAGTCAAGGTGTGTCTGAAGGACACTGTGCCGGTTCTGCTCTGTAAAGTGATCTGAAAAGAGTCCTTGTTGGTTGAGGGGACAAGCTGCTTCTCGGGACACTCAGGGCACATTGCTCATGCTCTAGGGACAGCCTTGCCACTATGGATTGCTACCTTTCTCGGGAAATAGGTTTATCATGCAAGGCTCTCTTGTCACCAGATAAGTAGGAGTCTTTAGGCACTATTTGAGATCCTTGAGTGGGAGACTGTAAAAGTTGATAATAAGTTGTCTCAGTTACTCTTTTTGAGTTCATCCCTGAAGAGGAATGATATAGGCACCACCATGTTTTAGGAGGACAGTTCTTAATGTTTAATATGCCTGTGTGCCAAGGTTGGGAGGTTACAAAGCAACAAAGAGAAAGATTTCACATGAACAGATGTTGAGGCCTTTTCACATTTTCAGTTACATGGTAGGACCAAGTGAGGTGCTGATGCTTTTTAGCACAGTTCTAAGTGCCTATTGCTTCCTCACAAGTTACCAAAATTAATAAAACACTTGGTTTGAACTATAGACCTGAGAATTCTACTCATTTGTGAATGCTCATCCCCTTGCTGTCTACATGGATTGATTGTATCTCCTTTTGTTTTGTAGAGATCACCAGGAAAAATGCTTGCTCAATGGTAATGACCTTTATAATTTTCTTGAATTACTCAATAGATACTGTATGAAGCATTTGACACTTACCAATTACCCTCTTTCAAAGCCTACCACGGAAGTGACAGATTCTCTTCGAAGTGAAGGAGTGGAAAAGTCAGACAAAAAAACATCAAAGCCAGGTAAAATTTCCAGTTTTAAGTTATTTGAAAAGAAATAGGTGAAATATCAATGCTTCCAGACTTCCCATTTCTAATGCTACCCACCCCCAAGGAGTTGGATGGTATAAGTTGTCATAGCCAAGGAAATGGTCATTTCAGGCATAAATAGTTCAGAAGAAGGTCTTCTTTAGTACATGTAAAAGATGATGACAAATTGGAGCTTTGACTTAATTTTTATCCTTTCTTGTTTTAATACTTTAAATTTACCAGTTTGGAATGTCCATCCTTCATAGACATTTAAAGAGGTTAGTCATAAGACTTTTTAGGTTTCCCCAAAGTTTGAAACTGCCTGCAGAGTGGAACAAATGAGAACAAAGCCTAATGACAATTATGTGTGACTGTCTGTCCTAGCAAGAAGCATCACTTTTCATGATAACCTGAAAAAAAATAAAATAGAAAAGAAAAATAAATTCTGGAGGTGCAGGTGCTGCAATATAACCTGTGATCCCAAATTGTGGGAAGTCAGGCAAAAGATTCCTCAAACCTAGAAGTTGAGGGTTAGTCTTCTTACATAGCAACAGACCCTCTGTTATAAACAACAACAACAAATCCATTTTAATTCTACCAGGGTACTAGGTCTTCTGTTTCTGATTCTAGTTATTTACTAATTTAATGATCTCATCAGCTATGTATCTGATCATAGAATATAACATTATGTAATGAGTTATAATGCATAAAATCAAATCAATATACTTCCAAGTGTCTTGTTTATGATTACATTTTCCTTTTCTCTTGCCATTTTTTATTGATTTAAAATTTCTAACCACTTCATGTGGTATATTTTGATGATGTCCACCTCATTATATTTCCATCTTTCCTGCCTCCTCCTGCTTCTTGTCCTGTCATTGATCTGACTTGTAACTCATTTCAGAGCAAAACTTCCAGTAGCCCCAAAGAGCCATACATAGCCACCCTTCCCAATAGGAATATTAATGTTTCAGGTAAGTGTGAAAATCAGAGAAACATTCATACAACGTACACATTGGAAAGAAGACCACATAAATGAATCCAGGGGTCTAGGGCTCAACTTCAGGGTCCTGGGACAGATTTAGATACAGATGAAGTCAGAATTGATGGAGGCTGAACAGGTTGTATAACTCAGGAGTCATGGTCAAGGTGTGGTCTGGACGGACACTGTGGCAGTTTCGATTCTGAAGAGAATCCTTATTGGTTGAGGGGAAATGCCACTTCTCAGGAAATGATGGCTTGTGTTCCAGAGACAGTCCTGACATCATGGACAACTGCTGTGCTTCAGTCCTGAATAAGAACCAAGCAGGTTAGGCCTCACTTATTTCTGGTCAGACACTGTGTTTAATATACCTGTGTGTAGAGGTTAGTGGGTGACCCAAAGCACAGGAGACAGATTCAAAAGAGGGATGCCAAAGTTTGATCCTGTTTTTAATGGTACTGCCAGACAAATGAGAAGAAAATATTTTTTAGAAAAAGAAATTTCTGAGTGTCTATTGATCATTTGAAACCAAAATATAATTTGGAAATATGAGCATGAGAATTCTTTGCTGTGTCTTCCTGAATTCTGGTTGCCTTTGCTTTGTATTTAAATTGTTCATATTTCCCTGAATGCTGGTTGCCTTTGCTTTGTATTTAAATTGATCATATTTCCTTTTGCTTTTTAGAGAACACTGAGAAAGAGGCATGCCCAATGGTAACAACCTTTAATGATATTATCTTGAACTACTAAGTAGATATTGGGTAAAATATATGACATTTAACTATCAGCCTTGTTTCAAAATCCACCCAGCCAACCACAGAAGTAGAAGATTCTCCTCAAAGTGAAGCAATGAAAACAGCAGAGGGAAGACCATCAAAGTTAGGTAAAAAATGCAGTTCTAGTTATTAGGAACAAAGTAGGGGAAATTTTAATGTGCATAGGCATTCCCATTCCAAATCCACTCAACCACACAAGATGGGGACACTTGTCATCCCCAGTACAGGTGTTGTCATTGACATCCAAATTTGAGAAAAATGTATGAGGTGTTAAAAATTAAGTTTCAACCTAGCTTTTTTTTTTCTCATTTTCTGTTTCAATGCCTTAATTTTATCAGTTTAGAATCTGTCCCTAATAGGTACTTACTAAGGTTAATCGTGAGGCTTATCAGTCTCCTAAAATTTAAACCTGGTGACACTGGGTACAATTGAGGACATAGTAGAAGATGACTATATATAAATGTGTCATGATAATCTGAAAAATCAGTCAAAATAGAAATAAAATGCCAGAGATAACAAACGCTGTGACACAAACCAGAGTCTCAGATTCTGGAGCCTAGAGGTTCTAGACTAGCTATGGCACATAGCAAGATCATTTCTATCCAAAGATAAATAAAGGAAAGCCCATTTTAGTCACATACTGACACTAGGTCATTTATTAATAATTCAGTTTTTCCCAGTTAACTTAGTGCTGTCATCAAATATATATCTGATCATAGAATATAATATTATATAATAAGATATAATGTATAAATCCAAATTCATATATCCTTCAAAATGAATTAATTTTATTTAAATTTTCTTCACTTTTACTTTTTCTTATTTGCTTGTTTTCAAGTCAGTTTTAATCATTTCATACGTGTATGGAAAACACTGTGATCAAAGTCACCTCCATTAACCTCCCTTCTACACAGTTCACCTTGGCTTTCTCAAATAACTGTTTTTCTATTCTTTTCTTTTCTTTTTTTTTCCTGAGTGGTTCAGAATCATTCTACCTGTATCCTAAGAGTAACCTGTATATGGAGCTGCTTCTCCAGTCCCACTCTGATTTATCACGTGGTTCAATAGAAAGCAGACCCAGGACATTTGCTAGAAAACATTAGACTGAGCCCCTTCAGTGTCAACCATGGGAATGTAAATCATGCAGTATTGACCATGAGAACATAACTCACAAAGTGCTAGAGGCTGGGAGATATTCTGTTTCCCTTCTTATCAAATTTGCTAATTGTTCATGTTGATAGTAAGAGTTCTGTTCTTCAGGAATCCAGATTAGTACTTTAAAAAAACCTAAAATTCCTCCATTGTGGAAATTTATATTATAAATTTATGAATATTTCTGGAATCTTTACTTCAAGTGTGGCTAGTTTCATCTTCATTTTATAACACTACTTTCCATTTACTCCTCTTCCTCTTTTGGAGACCCTATCTCAAAATAAATGAAAGAAAAAATGAATGAATGAATGGGAAAAAGATATTGTACAACCTAGTCCATAAGTAGAAGTGTGGTAAGGATGTAAGATGAAGTCTGAATAAAGCATTTAGGAAGGCTCCAGGAAAATCTAGAGAATGAGTTAAACTGAGGAAGACTCATGTAAGAGAGTGTTAAAACATTTTTTAGAATTTTGCATAAAAACAAGTTCAGCATAAGGAACAAGTTCACAGACAAACATGCACACATATTTTGATGAATACATTTTTGAGTAGTTTAAAAGTATTTTTTATTATCATTAATGTTAAATAGCTATATGTTGCTATGTAATGTTCTCTATATTCTCTATATGTGTAATGTTCTATAAGTTGCTAGAGAAATTGCTTACTAACTCTGTTTCATAACTTATTTTCAGCATAGATATGATATATGTATCTGATTATGTTTACTTTATCTCCAGAACCAGGCTTACCAGTGTCCTCAGAGAAAAAGTCAAAAAAGCGTGATCACAAAGAAAATAAACTGCCATTGGTAAAGATTCAATTCCTCATTCAATATTGTTTGCTTTTATTGAAGGCTATTTGTTGTATCCTGTCTTTGTGGGGCTTCAGTTGGATCCAGTGACTTGCCTGGTTCATAGCTGAGAAGGGGGAGTGTGGATTGAGAAATGGCAGGTAAAGACTCTAAGGAAAAGAGAGAGAGACAAAATACAATCAGGAGGGCAATACAGTGAATACTGAACGCTCCAGATTTATTCTTCAACATTCTCAAATACCCCAACCAAAAAGGGGAACATGGCAAAAGACTTCTTTATCAAGATCCAAGGAAGAAACAGACCTTCTTCCTTAATTCTCCAAACATTTGGTAACCACGCCTTAGACTAAATCTCTCGTTATTTGGCCATGAAGGTTAAGAGTAAGCACACTTCAGAGCAAGTCTCTTGTTACTTAGATAAAATATCAGGACCAAGACCAAACAAACATCCTACAGTAGCCACGCCTTAGATCTTTGGGTCTTATGACTTTAACCTTGGAAGAGTAAGGATGGGTTTGAATTCTCTGACCTTAAACCAAGATGAAGTGAAGCCATTTTTATGGGCCCTGACAACTATTTTAAAGGCCAAGTGGAATTTTCCTCAAACTGCCTCAAAGATTTAGTAGATTATTTCATGTTTAATTTTTAAAGTGTTTCAACTAGCTATAAGACATAGACAGGGCAGTGCCATGTAACTATCTTACTATATGAGCAGGTAGTGTGTATTCTTATCTGTGATTTCATTCCATGACAGAAAGATCATGTAAGAATCAAACCTTATAGAAAAGCACCTGAAGTTACAAACAACATAACAGTTTCAGGCCATGAGTATGATTATTCCTAGGGTCAAGTTTATGGTTTCGTGTTATTAGCCAGTAATGCTCTGATTAAATTTCCAATCCCTTTTTTTTTGATATCTAGTTGACTTCAGTGTTTTGTAAAAAGAGGGACTAGGAAACTTAACAGCTCTATTGTCCAGTCAGGGACTGACTGATCCTTCAATGATGGACCATCTGGAGTAGAGGCAGTATCTTGTCTCTTTGTCTTCATCTCAATGAAGGAAACCACTAAATATATTAATGTTATGCACTGTTCTCAGTTTTCATAAGACTATTATTAGGACGAAATGATATAGATACTTTATAAACATGACACTAGCATTCTGTCAGTAAATGGCAGAATTGGCCTCTTAATAATGGACACTCACATGCATAGCACATACTTCTCCATACACAAACTTGTATATGAACATGTGCACATAGTAAACTTTTGC